TTCAGTACTTTGTTTTTGTTCAAGAGAGTGATGAAAATCCTTTCTTAAACAGATAAGTAGAAACAAACTGAATTATAATTTTTTCAATATCATTGCCCAGTTCCCTATATTCCATTTACACTGGTAATGAGGCCTCGAAATTAACCATACCTTCTGCTTGGAATTTCGTTTTAAATCCGGTATCATTAGTGTTCAATTAATTGTTCTGACAGTTTTTCATTTTCCGAATCGCAGCGGGAAGGATCAAGAGTCCATAAAAAATTATCATATTAACCACATAGAAAACAAGTTTCAAACTGTGAACTCAGAGTTTTGAGATGCAAACAAACGTCATTGCGTATTTTTTCCAGCGATATAATTTTCTATTAAAAATATATATTATAATTTATTGAAAATTTTCTATGTTTTAAACAACTAACCCACAAACCAAGTTTCCTCTCAAGACCCTTTAATTTCTCATGGGTTTTGAGAACAGTTAAAGAATTATCTTTTAGAGTGATTTAGTTCATTTAATTTTGCTGAAAGATACGCCAGTGTAATTACCTGCATGTCATTAGCAAGAAATAATGTAAAATCATGTTACAGTAACAGGGCATTTTTGTGAGGACCACAAGGGCAGGTTTCGAGAACCACGTGGACTACATTTTCAGAAGCTTCAGATTATAGTAATTGTTATTTTAATGAGCTAATTTATTTCAAGAAGAAGCTTCTTTATTTGTAATATGTGATTTTCATTTTGAGATGATATCCTGCTCATTATGTATAAATTCTGCTGCATATCGGCAATACATAAGATCTTATATTTATTTTTCAAAATTATAAAAGTACGCTGTTTCGTGCAAATAAGTTAATCGTCTAAAATATCATTTTATACGGACTTAATAATTTACTGAATTTTATTATGGCAAAGCATGCAAGGACTGTCTGTGTAAAGGAATGCATGCCTTCATGGATAATTTTTTTAAAGTAAAACAGGCTTTCGTTAATAAAACCATTAGTAAAACCGTTTAAAACGTTATGCAGGAGACAAACAACGAAAATTTCCACGCAGTCAGCCCATTCTTTGCGATTTGAACCCCCGTTCGAAATACCGATTTTAGCGATTTCCCGCTCGATTGTTAATGAGCCGGAAATTACCAGCATTTTTCAGTATATTTCATTTTATACTCTAAGAGTCATAAATAAAACAATTTTTTAACATTCTATAATAGGTTAATAGCAAAATTTCTAATTTTGTTTCTCATGTAAGCTGTTGTCAGCATCCAAAATAAAATCTAACGGTTATGAAAAAAGTTTGAGAAATATTATAGATTTCAAATCTCTCTCTATACTTTTTTTATCCTTCCTTTTATTTTCAACAATGGTAATATGCTTTTTCAATATTTTGATATTTATGTCATTTCCCCCCATCTAAAAAATGCATTAGAAATCAAAGGAATTTTTAAAAATGAAATTCTTTTAGTTCAGATTTAATTGTATTCAAAGATTTAGTTTAGATTTAGTTTATTTTATTTATTTGGTTTAGTTTATTTTATTATGGCTAAGCACTCTATCTAAGGGAAGGAATAGAGGACTTTCAAAGGAAACTGGCTCGTACACACGTTATATGTGAGGAAAACCACGAAAACACCCATGCAGCCAGCCCCGCATGCCGGAGTTCGAACTCCGGATCGAACTACCAATGTTCAGCGGCAAAGACGAAAAAAAAAAAAAAAAAAAAAAAAAAAAAAAGATGACTGTTAACTGGAAAAAAAAAAAAAAAAAAACATACATTTTGCATTTTAATTTGGCATTTCTGTATTAATAAATCTACTTTCTAGCAGATTTTTTTCTTTTGCTCTGGCAGAAATTTCGCGAGAATGTTTTAAGAATAGCATAATAATGTTTTAAGAAGAATAATAAAGTTTTAGATAATAATGTTTTAGAATAGATTTTATAATAATGTTTTAGAATAATGTTTTAAGAAGTAGTTGTTAGCTTTAGTCAGTTTACTGCAAACTGTTGTATTCCTGCAGGAATTTTACTGCAGTTTCTTACCTTGCTGGCAAATCCTACAAGCGCATTTCTTTAAAAGTGAGAATAAAGCAAAAGACAACACAGTTTTTCATAAAGTACAGAGGAAATTGAAATGCCATAAGAAGAACGCTCATCAAAATGGTGACGTTACTTCTTAAAAGTGAAGAGTTGTTATGCACATAGTTTTCAGAGTTTTGTGCAACTTGAAATTTGGCGATTTCTACTAAAGTGGGTGCGTCAAACGTAAGTAAGTACCTTTTAAAAAAATCTGATGTGTACACCACATGACCTCCTTGTACGGAATATTAAATTATACGCACCTTTTTCTGCATTTCATTTAAACTTATTGAATTGAAAATACTTCGTCGATAGCGCATAAACCACAACAGAATAAATGCGTTTTTTAAAATTCACTATATTTATTTACCATAGCGATACTCTTCATTTTGTTACTTAGAATGAAAAAAAAAAAAATATCATCTAAAGAATTATCTAACCGCTGTCACATGTTCTATTCAAATACTATAATAAATCTAAAACGATATATAAAAGAAATTAAACAAATAAAAAATAAACAGTTTTTCATAAGCGATTCAGCACCGCTTACCTAATGTGTATGCGCTAGTAGTAAACATTCTTCTCTGTCCGAGACAGACTGGCGACAGTATTTTCTCCTAATATTAAACATTTATTTCCTTGAATTTCATCAGAGATGTATTTCTTATTCAAATTTAAAGATATAGAAAAATATAACACACCAAATACAGTTAAAAAATTTTTTAATTAAAATTACAGTTTCTACGCAAAAACAAGCAATTCGAGCAGCGGGCAAGAAGACAGATTTTTGGCTCACAAAAATGAAAGTTTACTTTTGGTCTCACTCGATAAAAAGGCACTGAAGGCGTAGAAACTGGCTTTGTGTGGACGCTATGCTGAGTCAATACATGGGATAATTTAATAACTTAAATTATAATTCCAGAATGGATTAAGCATAATTTAATTCGCAATAATAAAAGATGTTACTTTGTTGTTGCGAAGCTTAATTTCTCTAGATTGGCAATAAATCCACTATTCTGCTAAATTTTAAATGTACACATATATGGCTGCTATGACAAAAAAAAGGGGGGAAGGCGCACTTAAACAATTTTTAAATTGTTGACTACAACTATAACACGCAGGTTAACTAAAGGCATAAAAATCTTAACCGGAAGATAAAAAACAACAAAATTCAATCATTTTTAAAACAAAAAATGCACAATTTAAAAACATATGAGAATAAAGAAACTGAGCTCACTGAGCCGAGTTAACAGAGTGGATATATATAATACTATTGGTGAGGGCGATTGCAACTCAAATAGGAGGTGCACATATGCATGTTATAGCAGTCCTAAAATTTCAACTTTCTGAGGCTACTCGTTTTTGCGTTATGCGAGATACATACATACGTACGTACGTACACACGCTACGAAAAAATGTCCTCAGAATCCATTTTTAATCAGTTTTATAATTTTTTGGAGGAGAGAGAAAGTCCTTTATTCTGTCCTTACGTACAGATGTCACGGAAAAACATCGTTAAATTGCATTCGATAGCAGTCAAAATGGATATTTTCGTCGAAATATAACACCCGAAATTTTTCGTGATTACAATATTTCTTTTTTTCGTACAAAGAAATTTTTTTTTTTTAAAAAAAAGAGTATATTTGATGATTTGACATTATTAGACTAAAGGGAAAATTTGCCCAGGACTATTAATTTCGTTTGGGCATTTTGCGTCGATTCACGATAAGCATTGTTTCACTTTTCAAATTAATGCCACCCGCCCTGTATTATATTTAAAGAAATTAAATAAGGAAGAATCTGCATGAATGTATGTATGTTTCTATTATTATGATAAAATAGAGCCATCACAATTTTAATAATGTAATCTTCCATGTGGAAACCTTAATTTGAACTTGAAATATGTTTTATTATCGATTTCATATTTTGTAACACTTCAACGAATTTTTGATTAACACATTCAACGATTTCAAAACGAGCAGTGGCAACACTGTACGAGAAAAATAAAATAAAATAAAATAAAAGAAATAAATAAACTTTTCATCTTGAGACTGTGTATCGGAAATTTTTAAAACATGCTCATTTTAAAATTATTTTGCGATATTGCTGTTGAACTGAATTTTATGGTTTGAGTACGTAGAACATGATATTTAATAAATAAATGTAACACAAAGAACGTTAAAAAAACGCTCCTTTGGTTGTTATTTAAAATCTGAAACCTTTCAAATTTTTTTATACATTTAAATTTTTTGTATATAATGTAAATTTTAACGTTCCTACAAAAGTCTATAAAGTTAAAAAATTTCGTAAATTTTAAAAATTTTTTAAAAGAACTTTTAATAATTAAATTAATTTTACAATATTTAAAATTTTATTCTGCTTGAATTAATTTTCTCAATAAAAAGAAAATTCCTAATCTATATTTTTTGCTTCCCAAAGTACTTTAATTTATTTTTGAAAAGAATAAATAAAACTAGGTTAGTTAGATATTTAATTTTTCATGTTAAATAGCTATATACTAAGTTTTCTTGTATTCTATGTAAACAGCACAGTCACTTCCTTAACTCGTCTCTTCTTCACCATCTCACGATTTTCTAACATGAAAACATCTCAGGAATTACTAATATGATGTAAGGTATCCAGAATGCAGTATTCTTCGTAACTTCGCCGCGGTACTTTTCTAGAGAACTTGAATCTGGTATGTAAGCAGCAAATCCATGGGAGTTTACCATGCCCACTACCATTCAATAAAAAACGTAACAAGAAATCGCTCGAATTGGTATTCAATACGAGCCTAAGAACGTGTCCGAGGAATTGAGCGACACGTAAGACGGAAGCCGACGATCGCGGCTATCGTCTGCTGCCTCTGCGCATGCGCGAAGTAGTCATCAATCCCCTCGCGTGGCTGGCAACTTGTTCCAACCGGAGAGTCTTCAAACAGCCGAACGCAATTTGGCACCACATTTGATATCGGATAGAGCTCCAGTTGCATTTGGTGATCTTACATCACGTAGTATGTGATCTTAGTAATGATCTGCCATGCACAGAGGTTACATTTTCCACTGATAAATTGTTAACTCCGTTACTTATTTTTCTTTTTCTGATAGGTTTCCTGTCAGAGTAAATTAAGACGTGCAATTTTATTCTCCGTAAATCTATATGTAAAGTTTTATTTACGCTTTATATTTGTGCTATTGATGTATAGAAAAGGATTATGGAGATTTTAGTTTTTCTTCGCTAATGCGCGTTATAGAAGTGTGAATAAATCTAAGTCATTTTTCTGTGTCATATTAAATTAAATATTGTGGAACACTCGGACAAATACTAAAAATGTACTCCTCGAAAAGTTTTGTTTTCTTCAATCTGTTGGTGATTCTTGGACTTCTTAGCGTTGCAGAATCTTTCGTAAGTACTTTCACATTTCATTAACTTTTAACGAATTTATTTTATTTCCTGCATATGAAACGTCTGTGTTATTTTTTTACTATATTGCAGATGATCTGAATAATATTTTAAAACAATGTATTCATAAGCTATATTCTAAAATTTATGCTTTATTTAATTACCGAAATTTCTCTACAAATAAGTATTTATGTAATGAAAAATTGGTTGGTTTTTCTTTTACACACATTGAGTGTTTAAAATTATGGAATTAAAACATAAGAGTTTTTAAGTTCTAAAAGTTTTAAATATTTCAGCGGTATGAGCTGTCAGATTCTGTATTTTTTTTCGAATGGAATTTTTCTTGCAGTAGAATAAACTGTAATTGTTTAATATCACTTTTATTATTTAATCTTAAAATGTTTTAATCCAAATTAATTCATATTTCAATCTTATAACTAATTTCTTATCAAATTCCTATTCTGGCGATAAAAATTATTAACATCTAATTAATTTTGCATGATCATTAGGTGTTAATTATTTTTAAAATGGCATAACTGGTGTTCTTATGGCAGTAACATTTTTATTTCGATGAATAACTCTGATAGCACTATTTCACAATTAATTCGTTGATTAAAAAATCGATGACTTAGCTTTAATATTAGAAATTTTAGTCTTATTTTGGTTTAATGAATTAACTGTTATCCGTTAATTCTTTGCAAATAAGAAATACATTTTGAAGTTATGGAGAGAGAATACTATTAAATAGTTGAATCGGAAGATGTAAAAAGAGGCTATATGACAAAAGTCAGATTTTACAGAAGCAACTAAAAAAACTATCCCATTTCTCACAAGAATGTCAGAAGTCAACACCAAAAAATTATGAGATCGATGTAACTAGGATCCATATAATTTTTCAAGCGCCTTTTGACATTCTTATGAGGAATGCGATAGTAAAATCTGACTTATGTCACACATCTCCTTTTTACATCTTCCGATACAATTTCTTTCGGCCAATCAGGCATATTAAAAACTTTTAATGTAAAATTTCGTTCTTTAAATAATTATATCTACATTATAACCGAAAATGGACAAAAATTATCTATCAGATTACAGTTTAATAATATATTTATACAGTTGCTCAATAGTATTTTATGGAGCTTTTATATTCCAACTATAAGTACGTAGAAATATTGTGTTATGGGATTGGGGGTAAGAATTATTATTATTATTTTTTAATTTTCTCTTGTCACTTTTATTAACTCTCCGTTTCGTTTCTATTTACTATCGGATGGCGCTTGCTCACTGTGGTAAGATAAATATGCCAAATGTTATCTATAACGTCGAACACGTTTGTGGTTAAGCTGAAAGAGCAGAAATAACACTGATGCAGCTTTAGCAAAATATTTGTTTTAGAAGTTATTAAATGATTTATCAACAATGATACCAATGATTATTTGGTTTGCACCCAAATGATTAACTGATGCTCTTAATAGTATATGGCGTTAGAATAATTTTTATTTATTAGGATAATGCTATAAATTTTCAGAAGAATTATCAATAAGGTATAAAAAGTACGGAAATCACATTAAAACATTATTAAAAAATATTAAGATTTATGTTTATTGGTTTAAAATCCCTAAAATACTTAGCAGTGTACAGCTTTAATTTAAAAGATAAATTCTTGATTTTAAGAGAGTGGTGAGCAGCAACCCCTCTGAGATCTGACATGTTTATCTTATAGACACTGGTCTTATAGACTAAATTTTAGGTCTTAAGGGAATGGCAACACCTCTGATGACTGGCAAATTTCTAGGCTGGGCTGAAAAATTCCCATGTAGGATAGCGTGACGAAACTTAACATTGAGGGAAAAAAAAAAAAAAGAAAAGAAGACTTAAAACTGTAGGCATTTCTAAATTAAAAAAAAAAAAAAAAAAAAAAAAAAAAAAGGAGAGAGAGAGAGAGAAAAGGCGTGAGCTATATATCTCTCAGATAAGATACGAGTAAAATGGGAACTTTTAGAATGAATGATAAATTTAACTACTGCACAGTTGACAGTTTGAGCTAAATGCTGGATTTTAACTTGTCTAACCATCGAATAATTAGGAGAAAGCTTTCTATCAGCATTTTTGTAGAAACTCTTGAGTACAATTCTAAATGCTGTTTAGGCTTTTACGTTTTCGAAAGTAAAAAAGATGCATTTAAAATAAATATTGAATACACAAATTCTATAATAGCTGCTGTACATTATCTCACTTTTTGGGAAAAATGATGTAGTGGAATCAAATTCTTATTTAAATTACATACAAAAACCATAATTAGACACATTTTCCGGTTCGTCAGCTTAACTTCGGAGCCATAGATATTATATATCATAGATCCAAATGTAAAATTATGTATTTTTAATTAAAATAACATTAAAGAAACTGTTACCTAACATATTAAAAATAGCTACATTTATTCTTAACTGATATATTGAAAATTTCAATTTCGTATATCACAGTTATTTATGCATGTTAAGGAACTATAAATAAACTACATTTTGGAAATACTTATCTGATGTACTCAGGTATTAATAGAGAAGTGGTTAATAATTTTATTTTAATGACAACAACAACAAAAAAAATATGTACATAGTATTTGCACTTTAACGATAGACATGTTTCTCTCATAAATATGATAGCAAGACTTTACATGCGAAGGCTTGGGTTTACGGGATCTGTTAGCCTATCAGCGGTCGAGCAATAAAACTGATAATTCAAGCCGAGTTCATTTCACGAATGCTCTGTCTACGTGGGAGATTTCGAGGTTTCTCCACTGTGTAACGTGAATATGAGCCAGTTCCCTGTAAAAAAATTTCGCGTATTTTTTTATACCCTTAAAAAGTGTAATATATTCCGTAATAACGGATAAATCATATTGAACTTTACTCAATATGATTCATCCGTTATTCCTTAATTTTAAAGTTAGAACATATTTATTATTTAGCTTATAAGGTATTTTCTCCTTTCTTTCCGCATGCCTTCGTGCTGTGATTGGAAACCTAATCGACGCGTATTAGAGAGGGACAGGCTTTTCGACTCCGGCGAGGGTACTGCACGATTTTCACGTCTCTTGCTTCATAAAAAAAACTAATGTCTCTACAAGTGCGCTCGAACTAAAAGGTGGTGGACGATAATTCGTCACCGCTAAGATCTTGGCGACTGGGCCCCCCTAATTCCCACTCGCCCAGCACACTCGGCGTTTATTCGAGAGGTCCAGGTTCGTGTCCTGACGATTACACTATGCAGAGTACGACTATACGATTAGCACTGCACATTTTTCACATCTCTTGCATCAAAAACCTTAATGTACAAATTTTAAGTTATACTTTAACCATTAAATTATCTCTTATGTAAAACATCCCTAGCATATTGAGCTTCTATGCGCAAAACTGCATTACATACAAGCCTTATGCCCTGCCCTTGTAAAATTTTTTTTTAAATGCACGATCGACTTAAACACAATGCCTTATTATAGTTGCGAAAACTTAAATTCTGTACTTCCGAAGTATATTCCATTACCGCCGTGTGAAATAAACCCAGTTTCAGATAAAACAGAAACACGCCAAAGTAAAACATAAAATTAACAAAGTAACAACTTTGTGTTTGGCATAGATTTAGTCAAGATTCTATCGATTTGGAGGGCAAACAGGTACAGGTCCCTCTTCATCAGGAGCAAAGAAATGTGGTATTGTGATACGATTTCTTTGCTCCCGATAAAGATGGACCTCTACCTGTTTGACCTCGAAACCGATAGTCTTGACTAAAGCCAGACTCAAGATTGTTACTTTGCTAATTTTATGTAAACTCAGTTTATTGCCGGAAATGAACCTAGAAAGATATTACCTCTCAGTAAATGTTTCTTAACTACCAGTCAGCAGATGCAGCACAGTATTAGTACTGAGTAGATTCGGCATCGTACACGGTGAACTCTGCATAGCCTCTACGTGGCTCAGAAGAGACACCGGCATACGGCAGACACTTTCCTGGTATACGAGATAAAGTCTAAAAGGTATAAAAGGAGTCTAGACGATGAACTAATAATGAGGAAGAGGATTACTGCAAATTTTTCACTTGTTGGTGTCGTTACAAGTGTATACAGGGTGTCTGAAAAGGTGGTTGCCAAACTTAACATGCTGGTCTGTCATACCACGACAAACAAGATTTACATAGGAACTCGTGTCCGAAAATGTGAAAGGCTAGCGCTAGCGGGGAATGTTTACAAGCGCAGAGGAGAAGAAAGAAAAGATGTCGAAAGAGGTATTAATAAGACATTTATTAAAGAACATGGTTAAATCATAGAAGATGTTCAGAATTCTTTCCATTCGCCAAACTGTATGCTTCACAACGTCGACGCATGAATTCACGGACCCGTTCAAAATGGGTAGATGTGTCACGGACACGTGCCGCCTCCGCGATCCTGGCGACGTCCATGTCCGATGTTACGGTCACCTCGTACATGATAGATTTTATGTATCCCCATAGGCATAAACCTAGGGAAGTCAGGTTAGAGGATCGCGGTGGCTATGCGACTGGTCCGCCTCTGCCAATCCAGTGATCAAGATATGTCCTATTGAGGTATTCCAACATAGTGCTGCTAAAATGTGTAGGTGCTCCATCATGCTGAAACGAGATGTTTCGGCGTGTAGCTCCTAGAACGTCAACCATCAGATCCGACAACACTCTTTCCATAAAATATCACACAAAATGTCCATAAAGAACTGAATTAGTAAAACGATTCATCCTTCTCCTGCAGCGTCCTCGCCTGAAATGATCACACTTCCCACTCTCCCATAAGCCTGCGAACATTGCCCTCTAGCGGTCGCCGTACACATAATCGGACACAGATTTCTATGTTAATCTTGTTTATCATGGTGTGACAGGCCAGCATGTTAAGTTTGGCAATGAACTTTTGAGTCATCCTGTAGAATCGATACTGCATAGCATCGAAATAATAACAACATAATTCAATCATTTTTAAA